GCAGGTCTGGGCCCTGCCCATTGCTAGTACTGACTGGAGGCTGTTTTTGCAATTCTGGAAACCCACTCGTCTAGGTAAAAGCCACATCCCCCGATAAAGGTCCACTGTCCTTACTCATAATTCCAAAATTCCCAGGGTTGAGAACAAAAAATTTCCCCCAATTCATCTGGCAGCCAAAGCGGAAGTGACCTGAGTCCTTGTTAACAAAACTGGCCTTAACTGACATAAGCTACTTAGGCTTTATTGTGCCCCTTAGAGCTTTGTGTCCCGCACAACAGCCAGTAATCCCACGTGTCTAGGAAAATGTAAATAGATTTCATTGAAATACTAAACATTCAGATTCTTAGTCATACTAACCACTTTTCAGAACTTCAAAAGCCTTTTGTAACCAGTGCTACCATATAGGACAACACAGATGAAGGCCCTTCCGACACTGCTGAACATTCTTTTTTTTTTTTTTTTTAACATATTATATTCATTTTTCACAGAGAAGAAGAGAGAGGGATAAAGAATCAGAAACATCCATTAGAGAGAATCATCTATCAGTTGCCTCTTGCACACCCCCCACTGGGGATATGCCTGCAACCAAGGTACATGCCCTTGACCAGAATTGAACCTGGGACCTTTCAGTCCGAAGGCAGACACTCTATCCACTGAGCCAAACCGGTTTCGGCCACTGCTGAACATTCTATTGTACAGCACTGAGAGGGGGTACATGTTTCCTTAGAGACCTTTTCTACTTGACTATGGGGTATTACTCCAGACCCATATAATTAGCAGTGTATGTACCATTACCCCTGATTTCAAATATTTGGAATTCCAAAATCACATCTGGCACAAAGGATCACAGATAGAACATGTGCCATCTGTTTTTAACCAGTAATAAAGGCAATATTTTGGTCTTTCTTCTGATTTAGACTTTACCAGCTACAGACTGAATGTTCACATGGTCCAAAGTCATATATTGAAGCCCTAACCCCAAATGCCTTGATATATAGATTTTTAAATATATTTTATTGATTTTTTTTTTACAGAGAGGAAGAGAGAGGGTCAGAGAGTTAGAAACATGAATAAGAGAGAATCATGGATCAGCTGCCTCCTGCACACCCCCTCCTGGGGATGTGCCTGCAACCAAGGTAGGTGCCCTTGATTGGAATCGAACCCGGGACCCTTCAGTCTGCAGGCCAATGCTCTATCCACTGAGCCAAAGTGGTTTCAGCTTGATATTTTGAGGTGACGCCTTTGGAAGGTAATTAGGTTTAGGTGAGGTTATGAGGGCGGGGCACCCATTAAGCGATTAGTATTCTCCAAAGAAATAGAATAAGGAAGAAAGAACCAAACTCCTTTCTTTTTCTCTGCCACCCCAGGACACAATGAGAAGATGACCAGCTAAGAACCAGGAAGGGGGCCCTGATCAGGAACGGAATCTGCCAGCACCTTGACCCTGGGCTTGAGCTGAGAAATAAATGTCTATTGTCGAATCCTCTCCGTCTACGGTACTTGGTTATAGCAGCCTGAGCTAAAACATTATCTTATTCTAAATTGGTTAAAAATGGAGGCAGGGAAGAGGAATATTGTTTATCAGACCTCCTCGAATTCCAGTAATAGGAAGAGCATTGTGTAGACTCCTCTCCTCTGCATGTTCATGAACAATTTAAGCGACTCACAGTGGAAGATCCATGAACTGGGACATGCTACTGCCTCTCCCACACTGGTTCTTTCACTGGTAGGGATTGGTCTGATGCAGATCAGACCTTTTAGACAGAACCACGTCCTCTAGTGTTCAGAACATTCTGAAATTTTCCTGAAGGCTGGGTCAGGACAGACAAAGTTCCCTTCCTACTATTTAGTTTCTCTTGGATATCAGACTTTAAGAGTGCGGACAGTGCCCTAATTGGTTTGGCTCAGTGAATAGAGCATTGGCTTTCGGACTGAAAGGTCCCAGATTCGATTCTGGCCAAGGGCATGTACCTTGATTTTGGACACATCCCCAGTAGGAGGTGTGGAGGCAGCTGATCTATGTTTCTCTCTCATTGATGTTTCTAACTCTCTACCTCTCCCTTCCTCTCTGTAAAAAATATCAGTAAGATATGTTTAAGAAAAAAAGAGTAAGGACAGCACTGATCCACAATATTTAGCTTATATTCTTATCTATATGGAGGTAAGCTATCTCATAGGAATTTGGCATAAACCTAGCCTTGGGCCAAATAGTACTAAGAGAGATGTTTTGAGTCCCCTGTAGGCTCTACCTTATTTCTTTTGCTATTATGATTTCTGGTAAGTAGCTTAACCTGGTGTAGCCTCAGTTTTCTCATCTGTAAAATAGGGACAACACTCTATGGGCCACCATCCTCACTGGGTTTGGGGATGGAAATCAAAACTAAAATACTGAATGAGCCAATATATGGGAAAGTAAGTTTTCCATTCTAAAAATATCTTTATTACTGATGGGAAATTCCACACAGCCTTGTGAAGCAATACCGATTAAAACAATCATCTAAGTGAGAGAGACCCTGGCAGGATTCTTAAAAGTACTGCTATGAGTTCCACAAAAAGCAGCTTTTATTTAGAGCATAAATTGGATTTCCACTTGTAAAGGAGAGCATGAGGTAGTGTTCTTTGTCTTAATTTGACAGTGGAAAGGTTCTTGAGTATTGGCCAAGAATCTAATATTGGATTGTACCAACACACACCACTGGCTTCCTGAATTGTATCCATAAAGGTCTCACAGTAAAATGCTACTTCTGAGAGAGCCTTTACCAAGCGTGCAAGCCTTCACATTCAGCTTGTAAAAAATACCCATCTGTCTTCTCTGTTCAACATACCTTCGGCTCCCCCAATACCCGATACAAGCTTAGGTCCTGCTCCTATTGAAACTCCTCAGGTAAGATTTCTGATCTTTTTCTAAAACGATATATTTTTATTGATTTTAGAGAAGGAGAGAGAGAAATATCAGTGATGAGAGTCATTAATTGGCTGCCTCCTGCATGCCCCTATTGGGGATCAAGCGTGCAACCAGAGCATGTGCCCTGGACCAGAATCGAACCTGGGACCCTGCAGTCCCCAAGCCAACACTCTATCCACTGAGCCAAACCAGCTAGGGTCACACTGCTGATCTTTTAAGATCAATGTACAAGTTGCTCAGCTCAAACAGTGACCAGGAGGCATGATCAACTCTCTCTGGTTTGCTTTCCTGAGATTAATAGATGCTAAAGCGTTTATTTCAAGAAACTAGAGAATTTGAAGAATTACGTGGACAGGCTTAAGAAAAATGAAATTCATCTTGAAAATTAATTGAACATTTAGCTGCCTCCATTTAAATTCATTATTGGTTTTTATCCTAGAAATTACAAATGTAATGAAAAAATTAACTATGGATGATAGTAACAATTTCACTGTGGTTTAGAAGCAACTTATTTAAACAAAAACAATAATTTATCTAGTTTTACATCAGCAGATGTAAATACTTTGAGATTTTTTTTTCCATGCTCAGGAGCATTGAAAATTTTAAGACTAATCATTTTCTAACACAATTCTCTCAAACACTGAAAATGTTTTAGCAATATTTTTGAAAACAACAATGGAAACTTAAGTTGCAGAATTTCTTAATCCTTCAACAGGCTGGCTGCCTATCTCCATGGTTTCTTTATCAAGATTAAGGTAAAATCCTGGAGACATATTTGATGAAAAAGATTTTGAGTGTACTGAAGCTTTCTAAAACCTTCCTTGCTTATTAAAGTCTGTGAAATTGAGTTGTAAACTGATGAAAGGCCAGTCAGTTCCACTCTCACAAGTACAATACAAGTACTTCTAAAACTAATTAGAATTAGTTTCTGCCAGTAGTTTTATTTTTTTAACATGATTTTTTTTAATGAAGTTTTTTTTTTTTTTTTTTTTTCCCTTGGTCCTCTCTGTATGCTTTTAACAAGCAATCAGAGCCTCAGGTTTTCAAATTATTCTCTATCCAATGATGTTTGTCAACTTTCTTTTTTCCTTCTACTTTTTTTTTTTTTTTTTTTTGTTTTTTTTTTTTTTTTTTTTTTTTGTCAGGCTCCGGACTTGTTATAGAGTGCAGAAAAAGTTCCCTTCGTATCTCGCAAGGAGTCTATTCCAGGCTCCTAAAAACTCATCTCCTGGCTGAACATTTATTGTTCTGGAAAAAGGCACATCCTGCAGTGTTATCCAGCTCACGTCCAATGCATCCTACTTTTTCTTAACTTACTGAGAAAGAAAGTTAATATCCAGGATGAGAAGTAAAAAAGCTGTGATGAACAAGGGACTCACCACCCAGCACTCGGCCGCTGCGATTTGTGAAAGTAATAAATCAACAAGTTTGCACTTTGCGCTGACCAAGGTACCCAGCCTTAAAAGCAGTGACACCACTGAGAGGCCAGTCGCTGGACCGGGGACCTCAAGTTCAGCACCAACCAGAGCCCGGCTCACCCTGAGTGCTCTGCCTGGAAACCAGTTCCCGGCGGATCCTAGGACCCCAATCTTCCCAACCTTTGCGCGGGCCTTCCGTTCACAGGGGTCTCCTAGGCAGAAAGGGTGCCATCGCACCCCCCAAGAGGTGAGTCTTGGGGAACACTTCACCTCGGCCTGAAGAACAGCAAAGGAGGGTGCCCTATTCGGGAGCCTGGCGCGGAGAGCTACTCCTTACACCTGCAACGACCTGGGAGAAGAACCCGCTAAAAGGCCGAGAAAAGGGTGGCAGTGGCAGGTTTGGAGCTTCCAGAAGCCTTCGTAATGTCCGGGACGTTACTTAGCTCGCCCAGAGGCGTGAGGCGGGATAAAATGAGTGTTCTAGGGGGAGTCGGCAGGCAGAGGGGATGAGCGAGGTGGGTAATTCCCACGCGCTCAGGGCAGCCAAGGCTTCCCGCTGGAGGAAGGGAGCGCGGGGGGCGCACGGCGCGCCCGGTTAGCCGATGATCCCGCGGCGCGGACGGACAGAAGGACAGAGGGACAGGCAGATCCGAGCAAGGAGGGACGGACTGACTCACCTTCGGGGTTGGCGCTGATGAAGACCCGGACGCTGCGGCCGGCGGGCACGAGGTGGGAAGGCAGGGCGGTGAGGTTCCCGGAGAACGCCGCCCGCCGGAGCGCCGAGTCGCGGGGGCAGGGCAGCTTGGTGCCCGCGCCGGCCGGCCACATCGCCCTTCGGAGGGACAGCCGCCGCCGCCGCCTGCTGCTCCTCGGGGTCCTGCCCGCGATCCGATCCGCGGGACGGCGAGGTCGATCGATCCCGATCTCCGCAGGCAGCACGGCTCAGAGCCGCTCCGAGCCCGAGGCGCCGCGGGCGAGCTCCCCGGCGCACCCCGCCGGCCGGCGCTGCGCGGCCATCCGGACGGACCTGAGCTCGGGCCTGGGTCGCCGCCGCCTCCTGCTGTCTCCCCGGGAGCCGCCTGCGCCCGCGGCCGGAGTCCGGTGCGGCAGCGCCGGGAGCGGGAGGAGCGGGAGCCGGAGGGCAGCGCGCCCGCGGCTACGAGCGCGGCGCCCCTTTGCGCCGGGAAGCGCCCGCGCCCGCCGCCGGGTCCGCGGCCATCTCCCCGCCCGCGCCCGCCGCCGCCGGAGGGAGGAGGGGGCCGTGCAGGAGGCGGGACCGAGCGGGCGATGGGAGCGGAGGAGCAAACTTTATCGGGAAAGCTGTCCGGGAGTTTGTCGGGAGCTGCCTCCCTGTAGGACCAGGAACCGGGGCCTCGGGCTACCCAAGAGCCACCCGGGGGCTCCCTGGGCTTCACCGGGGATGATGATCTCGGGCGCTCGCGGCTGCCTCCTTGGCGGAAGGCAGGAAAGACATTAGCCGGAGACTCCTGCTGCTCTGCCCGCTCTCCTAAAGGTCACGGGCGCCCTGAGGGTTTTCGGGAATGCACGCGTGCCGGCGGCGTCTGCGCGTCTTTGCCCCAGTGCCGGGGACACGGCCTCAAAGTTGCACGCTCGCGCCTAGTCCGGACCCCGGGGTGGGAAGCATCACAGGGCAGAGCCGCTTCGGGCGGGGGTCCCGGAGGGAGTGGCACCGCCGCCCGGTCACTGGGGACGCAGGGGGTCCGGTCCTTCAGCTCCTCCCGCTCCGGACGCGCCGCGGAGCCGCGGTTTTTATAGGGGAAGCTGCGCGGCTCACGTGCTCGCCGCCGCGTGGTCCTGGAACCTCTCCAAAAGCGGATCTCTGCGGGGAGCCCTCCGGGGGCCTCTGAGGCTCCAGGGGGTCCTTCCTGCGCCCACCCGGGCGCACTTTTGGGCCATTCAGCCCTCCCAGTGTTCCCCGGCCTCGGCCTGGAAGATGCGGGGCGCCCTGCGCCGTCCAGCCCAAAGGCCCTGCAGAATGCAGGTGGTCACGGACTGAGATGGGGTGCGAGAGATCAAGTTGGCTTTGGGCCGATGTTTCAAATTCATGCTTAGCGTGAGTTGGCTCTACCTGACGCTACCCTAAGGTGGACAGCTGGAGGGGTCTGGTGCACGTCCCGGGTGAAGTGAGATGTAAGTGGACGCAGCTGTAACATTGCCATCTCTGGGCTACACTCCATGGCACCTATGGAGACACTGCAAATCCCAGGACAGGAAGGACAACCGGGGGGAAGGGAAGAAGGAATGTTTGGTTTCTTAATTGGAGTTTGTTCTCCAAACCCTTTCTTTTGAGCTTTAGGGCAGGAATTCAACTTGTAGAGAGAGAGGAAGAGCAGCTTTTCCAAATCGTTGGGATTGGGGAAGGGGTGGGTGGGCACAGGGTGAAAGCAGCTGTGTGTTTGATCCTCCCACCTGGCGCTTCTGCAGGCCTGCATTTCCCCCGGGCCCTGCTGGTGGCAGTGAAGGCCTAGGCACTGCTGCTTATTTTGCTGCCCCGCCCCATCCCCAACACACACCTTCTGGAGTAATCTTTTTGGAAGAATTGCGTCTCTGGGTTTTTAAGGCTGCCTCGCTGCTGCTGAGCACCGGGGGCCAGACAGCAGTGCTTACTTTGTAACACTGTGCTGCAAGCAATGGAGAAGCCTGATCCCTCCCAGGCATGTGTTCAACTGATTCCATTTAGCAAATTATCTCCTTCTCCTGCACAGCCTCATTACAGTCAGGCGGGAACTTCTCCGGCAGGAAGGCGGTCTCCGAAAGACCTCCTGAAGTCCCAGGAGGTTTGGGCTGAGAGCTCTGGAACAGGTTAGGCATATACAGTCTCTATTACAGTATCATCTTTTATGAATATACTGTACCTATTACTGGGAAAAGAGCCAGGACCACTTTCTGCTTGATCTCAATGTTGTTTATGAGAGTCTGATAGGACCCGCTATATATTTGGTGGTTTCTCTCTTAAAATTCACTTTAGTATGTATGTCTCCTGACCTTTGCTTCCGATCTCAAAGGTTGCACTTCCTGAGGATGACTTTGGGATTTTTTGGCAGCCTCTATAACCTAATTAACTGTTCTAGACAGGCCGAAGTTTAGCATCTGCCAGTGTCATTGCAGACCAAGGATGCAGAGAGAGAATTTTACGTTAACCATACTTTAAAAGGCTCCCTGCACAGCCGGTTTCGCTTCAGGTAGAGCAGGCTCCTGTCTGGTTTATCAGGGAGGTTTCTACGTGAGGATACCTGATCACCCAACCACCCACCCCCTTTACACTTATATACATTCTCCTACCTCTTTCTTTCCATGCCCCTTGCTAACATCTGATATTCTAAAGCCAGAGATTCATTCATTAGCATGCAGATGACATAGGGAGGAGTCACCCTTGGAGGTAACACTTTGTTATGAATTAACTAGATTTATTTCCCACCCCGAGGAACTGTTGGCTATCGGAGGGAGTGAAGAAATTGAGAAGGGAAGGGAAGGAGCAGGCACAAATGTGGGAGGCAGGCCCAAACTTAGAGTTTTGCTTTTATATCTGTTTAAAAACACTTTACATTTTCTCCTCTTAGGTAAATATTGAACGTGTTATTAGGACTCCCATTTTATGTCCCATGAGAAAACCAAGGTTCAAAAAAGAGACATGACTGTGCAAGAACCAGTGAATACTAGAGCCAGGATCCAGATATTGTGGCCTGTCCCAATACTCTTTGCAATACAGCACCTCTATATTCTAATGTTGCCTAGGTCTGGCCTTGACTGACTCTTTAATACCCTGGAAAATAGATGTTCAGATGTGGAAGTCTGGTTACCACTTCTGCTTTCCCAATAAGAAGGAAGGTCTGTGTCCACAGGATCACTCAGGACTAGACTCTTCCCACTTTAGAAGTTGGTTGGATGATAAAGACTGCCAAATCCTTGTTTTCTTTGGGTCCTGTTCTTTCCTCATAAGACCACAGGCAGACCCATTTGATCACTGAAGTTGGTGGAGCAATTTAAAGCATCTAGAAATAGCCATAGCTGGTTTGGCTCAGTTGGTTGGGCACCAAAAGGTTGCTGGTTCAATTCCTGGTCAGGGCACATGCCTGGGTTTCAGACTTAATCCCCGGTAGGGGGTATGCAGGAGGCAACCCATCAAGGTTCCATTCTCACATCAATGTTTCTCTCTCTCTCTCTCTATCTCTCGCTCTCTAAATATCAATAAGAAATCTTTTTTAAAAACATCTAGAAATCTGTATATATAAAAGCCAAGCAACTGGAATGGCAGAACAATCAGAATGACTGGAATGATAGGTTGCTATGACACGCACTGTAATGGCCAACTGGCCCAATGGGGGCCCCAATCAGCTTCCCAAACCTCCTGCAACCCCTCTCCCTGGCCAGCCTGGCCCCCTGATTAGTCTCTTTCCTCCTCTCCCCCAAAAATCCCGATTGGGGACAGGGCTGGCTGGCCAACCTCCCGCATTCCCTGCCCCCCCATCAGCCCAGCCCCAAATTGGACCCCATCAGCGTCGGCGGCCGGACCCACTGATGCACAGATTTGAGCACCGGGCCTTTAGTAGGAGAATAAAAGTACATGGGAAATGGGCTATGGATCCTAAATGTGACAAAAACAGATATTCCCTTCTCCATTCTCTCCCTCACCCCAACCAACAGGCCAGAGGATCACAGAGAGGTCTTCTATCTTTATAAAACATTGCCACCAGCTCTTGCAAAAGCAGGGCTGTTCAAAGATAAGCTCACTGTTAGGTTCATATTACTCATGGAGCTAGAAGAAACATTGCGATCATGGAATCCAACTCCTCCTGATTTATAAATGAAACCCCTCCCAAAGTAATTTTTAAAAATAGGAGGAAGGAAAACAAACAAATAGTAATATTGACATAGTGAGCATCTATAAGCTAGATACTGCTTTAGGCCTTTAATAGTTGCATCATTTATTCCTACTATATCTGGTGTGTGGATCCAACACTTCTCATTATTGTTTGTGATGTATGTGCCGGTTGCCTTATCCAAAGTCCATGATATGCACATGGTATCTCACCTAGTCCCTTCCCTGCAATAGTTTGTAACTTTTCATCCATCTGAGAGTTGTATCACATGTCCAATTCATTCTTCTTAGATGATGGGGTGACGCTCATAAAGTGTATGACCCAAGCCCCTGAGACTGACTCGGCCTCAGAAGAAGGAGTACATCACCCACTCTGCATTTACCTGCAGGTACACTCACATTTGTGTACATCGGATAGCCTGGCTCAGCTGCTTCTGGACCAGTGGGCCATATTTGTCCTACTGTGGATTGAAGTGGAAATAGAGCCCCCGGTATCATAAAGATGACCAAATTAACACACCTTACTACTCTAACTATCTCAGGAAATGTAGCCAAGGAGGCCAAGGATGTGTTTTGTGTTTCTCAAACTTGAAGAAGAGTACCAGATTTAATATTACATTGTTGTTCACCCTGACTCTTTGATTTGAGTGATAAATATTTGAATCTGCTTTGCTAATGTGAGAAGTGGATTACACAGGGTCAATCGAGTAAGGACTTCACTTTCCAAAGTTCCATCTCAGGATAGAAGCTAGGCTGTTGGGAACCCACGTACTTGTTTACAAAATGGAAATTTTCAGTTTATGTGAGAATTTGTCAGCATAGCAATATGCCAGCGGAGACTGTTGAGTCAGAGGTGTCTGCAGTATGATAGAATTCACAGTAGCTCAGTTTAAATAAAGTTGCACCTTTCTGAAATTGCTATCTGATGCTTTCATGACTCAGAAATGCTAACTTTATATCCACCCCCTTACAAGGCTGTTGGATATATTTTTTAAATCTGTCTGCCTCTTACAACCTAATCATTCACATGGTTACGAGAGCACTGTGCATACCACACAAATTAGGAGAAAGTAAGGTCGCTTTTCTATAAAAATTTGTAGATTATTTTATATTTCTAAATTAAATGTCTTGTTTTATGATTGCCAACTTTGTTTCCCCATCATGATGTTAAAATAAACACAACACCATTAAACATCCTCTCCTCTCTTGTTCCATTATCTGATACTTAATTGCAAAA